GGCCGTTCTTTTAGTGTAAATTTAAGATATGCATATAAAAGACTTCAGTTGTAAGTCATCGTGCCATTGTGCATAAATAAATGTAGGAGCATATGCATTGCTTAGCAGTATCCCGATCCAGATTGCGCTTTCTCTTAGGCTCCATGGCATCCAAGGGTCTCTCTGTATGTGTTTTGTTGGTTTCGGTTTTTGATCCACAATTTTCAATCTGTTTTTTTGTGCAAGTAAAGCTTTTCTATTGCAACAGCCCTACCGCTCAGACACATTAACTTTGACGCTCATGGACCGTCGTCCGGAAGTGCGCGAGGACGTCTTGGCTACTCCCATTACTACCTACAGATCATCAAGGACTGCTCGCTCCGCCTCACGACAGACCTCGCGGGATAGGCAAGAGCACACGTACACACCGAAATCACGCGCAACGCCCAATCTACGTAAGATGATCAACCGGTTTTTTTCCGCCTACCAATGTCGACAACTATCAACAAGATATTTAACGTAATATCCAACTTCATGTCCCCTCGTTCCGGAACATTCTTTTTCCTCTATCCAGAAAACAAAAGCATCTTGGACAAACTATTAGCTGTCTAATGATACACACGAACACTAAAGGGCTATTTTAACAGCAGAACGTTTAAAGAAATAGGATGTGTGTCGTATTTCATTGGAAGCCAACATGCTGATTAATTTTGAAATGTGTAGCTTTTTTATTGACAAATCATAGCCTTTCGCAAATTCCTGTCCTCCCACCTAAAATGTACACCACGTGTAAGAAAAGGTCATTGGGAGAAGATGACTCGATCGCCGGAAAAATACTTTTATTCGCCTGACGTTTCCAGATCCGTCGTGTATTCGTCATCAGAGACATAATCAGAGAGTATTTGCAGATACGGGTAGCGTATGCACAGGAGTTTGCAGTATTAATAGGACACAGACATTACTGCAAACACAAAATGACAATTAAGGGTAATGGCTTTCTTGTGTGTTGATAGTTTTTTGAATGGCATGCGGGCTCTGACCTGCTGAACTTTCATCGCGCGTGATGGACTCGGGCGTGATGATTGCTCGGTCATCTGGCTCTCCGGTGTTGACACGGTGGCCTGTTGTTCCCCAAGTGGCTACTCGCTTTAGCCAACTTGAGTCTCAGCACCGAATATGGACTGGGCAGTTCGTTGCACTGGTTTATGGACTGGGGGCCCGTGAACCATAACTCAAGTGATTTTCGGCTCACCCGATTGCCACCTCTTGCGAGAATTTTGAACTCATCAAATTTGAATATGTGGCCGGGTCTCATCGAATTAGCCGCAACTTGAGAATTAGTATCATTTTGCCGCACTGCTGCCGCGTGTTCGGCAGTTCGTGTCTTGAGAAGTCTGCCGGTTTCTCTGACATATTTGCTTTGCCCGCAACTGCACCAGATCCTGTAGACGACTCCAGCTGTTTCTTGCCGTGGCAATGGGTCTTTCGGTTTCATTATCTTACGCCTTATGGTGGTCTCCGGCCTGTGTACGACTCAAACTCCAAGTGGTGCGAGAAGGTGGCCGACAGCCTCCGAGACGTTTTTGAAATACGGGATCACTCGCCAAATTTTTGGGGTCGGTGCGACTTTGTTGGCCATCTCATTTGCGTAAGCACCGGTTGACGAAGTTGCGCGGGTGGCTATTTTCTCTGAACATCCGTCGAATGTATTGTACCTCGGCAACTCAATCTTCTGGTTCGCTGCAGTGCGCCTCAACACGCCGATAGAGCGTCCTTACGTTACTGCGTTTGTGGTTGATTGGGTGGTCGATGATGTAATTCGGTACTTGCATCTTGTTTGTTGCTTTCTGTGGGCAACCAAATCTTTGCGACTGAGGAGGATATCAAGGAAGACCAGCTGGTTGTTCTCTTCCTCCTCCATTGTAAATTGGATGTCCGGGAAGACGCTGTTCAGACGTTCCTTGAACGCTAGCACCTGATCCCGTTCGATGACGACGAAGGTGTCATCCGCATACCGCGCCCAGAGTTTCGTTTTTTGATGTTGGAAGACCTGCGACTCCAGCCGTTGTAGGACCGTCTCTGCTATGAGTCCTGAAATCGGTGAACCCATTCGTGTCCCCTTCACCTGGTCGTAGATTGTTCCGTCAAACGTGAAGTACGTCCTGAGACAGAACTGCCAGAGCCGCAGGATTTGGGCATGTCCAAGGCGCTTCTCCGTCTCATCGTATTTGCTTCGTAGGAGTGGGTGGACAGTCTCGACTGCCAGATCCTGAAGGATAGAATTAAAAAGGGACGTGATATCGAAGGAAACCATGATATCACTTGGCAGGAGAATTACCCTTTTACTTTTCTCCAAGCATTGTGTTGATGAGCGGACCGTGGTCTCAGAATCAGCGGTCAGAAATTTGAGACGCAAAAACAGTCACTTTGCCAGTCCGTACGTTGGAGTGCCTTTCAGTGGTACGATGGGTCGGAGAGGAGCGGCCTCCTTGTGCACTTTGTGGAGGCCATAGAAGAGGGCCAAGGCCGTTTCTTGCGTTCTCGCCATGCGTCGGCCAGACGGCGTTATTGCACCCGAGTTTTCTAGTGCCAACAGGGTCGAATTGCTTTCGCGTGTCAGCATTTTGATGGGATTGATTTCACAAGGAACATAAAACTGACGATCCTCCGATAAGTTTTTCGCCTTCTAAAGGTAGTCAGTTCTCTCCAATATGACCGTAGAACGTCCCTTGTCGGCTGACACGATTACGATATCCCAGTCGGTCTTGAGTGCTCTTAATGAACCGCGTACATGCCCTAGAGAACCGAACCCCCTTTTCAGTATTATCACAAGAAGAAAAGGAGGCACTAAAATCTCTTAAAACAGACAAAAGCATTGTCTTTTTTCCTGCAGATAAAGGAGGCCCAACTGCCATCTTAAACAAAACAAATTAGGACGCAAAGATGCTATCATTACTAGAAGACAAATCAACATGCAAAGCTCTTAGTGCGGACCCCACCAAAATACAGAATGCAACTATTTAAAAGGTACTTAAACGTCTAACAGGAAAGAAACAAATATCAGGAGATATTGCCAAGTCCCTGAGACAAACCGAACCATACATAGCTAAACTCTATGGACTGCCTAAAATACACAAGCCCGACGTACCACTACAACCGATAGTATCATTAATCGGCGCGCCTAATTACAAAATGTCAAAGTGGCTATGTCGCAAGATTCACCCATTGACAAAAGATTGTGCAACATCAATCAACAATTCCATGGAGTTTTTGAACAAATTACAAGGACTTGAAATAACAACAGACGAAATAATGATATCATTTGATGTTGTCTCTCTCTTCACATCGATTCCATTTGACTTAGCAAGGCAATACACAGAAGAACTACTTCATTCCTACGAAGTGGACTTTTCTGTATCTGCCCTGAGTTAACTCTTAGATCTATATTTGGAAACTAACTTTTCGTTCGCACAACAATACTATAAACAGATAAAAGGAGCCCCGATGGGGTCAGCCATTTCAGGCTTTTTGGCTGAAATAACTTTGCAAAAATGAGAAACTATTGCCCTATCACTAGTTAACCCCAAGTTGTGTGTTCGCTATGTCGATGATACTTCTGTCATTGTTAAAAAAGACCAGCTGGAAACA